TCTGTTACCTCTGATACCTGGCACGAAGAGTCTATTCTTGTGCTTACAGAAGGTTGTTAAGCAGCTCGTTAGCGAAATACCAAAGACACCAGAAAATAAAATAATGTTGGCGGAGACGAGACAGAGATTGCTGAGTAATTGTCTTCAAGAAGAGTACGTGGCATCCGATCCATTTTATCATAAATTAATATTTTTTCATTTTTTTATATTATATTAAGTACATTTATAGTTTTTTATATAAGTAATTCATTAAGTTACAAAACTCTGCCAAAATAAACTCCTTTTAAATGTAAATAATATTTTATTATATTTAAGGTTCACGTCTATAAAATTTAATATCCAAAAAAGTTATTTTTTAAACAATTTGTATTATTAGATCATTTTTTGATAGAAAATGTGTATTAACTATTACATATTAATTGTTTTTTTCATATTTTGCTAATTGTGTTTTAGGGAGAAGGAGAATATTCTATATGAAAGTGCTGTAGTGATGGAAGAATTATGCAAGGAACTCGCAGGCATAGCATATGTTAAATATCATCATTCTGTTTAACAAATTTCTGCATATGAGATATTTGTTAAATATAATGGCAATATTTGTATAATTTGTAGACATTATCAAAATCGTATAATTATATGTACTTTAAGTAGCAAATACTTTTTGTGATGACTTTGTAAGATATAAATCTATAATTAAGTATGCGACGTAAGTATGTGACGTACATTTAATTAAACTATTATTATCAAGAATCAGATTTTATAGTGTTATTTTATTTATTAAACCCTGAATGAACAAAGTCATAAAATATTATATCTGTATTATTTACAAGGCATTTTCTAGATATATTTATATTTTAGAAATATTTCAGAAATATTTCTAAAATATAAATATATCTAGAAAATCAGAATTTTGGAAATATTCTTTGTCTTACAAGATTCTTAAAATATTTCTATGAAGTTTTAATATTTTGAAATGTTTTACGAATGTTTATAAAATATTTCAAAAAATGATATATTTCATGCTGTGTAGGACGTTTTGTTATTAAGAAATACAAAGTTGCTGAATTAATAAAAGGCTATTTTCTTACATATATTCTTTTAATGTAAAAAAATATTCATGTACGAAATTTTTCCTTTTTTTTTCATTGCTTTCAAAACCTACATGTAAAAATATAACCTTTTTCGCAAACTTAGAAAACAGGCAAACTTACATATTATTCATTTTATTGACTATTTATTTTATTAATATTTTTAGTATCTTTTTTTTTGTTGTCCTTTCATTATTTTTCTTTCAATATCTGAATATATTTATTTCGTTTTAAGCGCACAAAGTGCAACGTAGTACAGTTAAAAGTACACCATATGTTATGTACACCATATGATAGCAATATATTCTTGACAGCTGCACTTTTCGTCTTTTCTCTTTTTCTCTTCTAATGCTCAATTATATAATTATCTCATTTCGAGAGCAGAAAGTGTAATATAATGCAGCAACAAACAATAGCATATAAAATTCTATATGATAGTAAGTATCACTCGCTGCCAATCGTTATATATCGGCGTCAAAGTACTCAATGGAAACCTGGGCTGGTTTCTGCACGAGATCTATTATCGACAACGTTGTCTTCCATTTTACTGGTGATACGCATAAAAATTCTTCTGTAATCAAAGTAAATAGCGAGAATTTGTTGGCAAATGGAGAGCTGTATTTCCTGTGCAATTTCAAAGCATGGAGAGATCTTTTGACTTGCTCCAAGGATTGCACAAGCATTCTACAACATTTTGCACACGTACATGGTACAACGAAAGGCAATGCAGACGCGGTTGTGGCTGAAGAGGTGAATAAATATTGTCAATATTAGAATGTTTATATCAGCTTACTCCAATTTCACATATATTTTCTGCATACTTCGCATATAAAATCGTTGAAAATCTATCTTTTATGAAATGTTTTTATAAATAGATATTTAATAATCAAGCATGCCGTATTTATTTATAAATTGTAAAATTTCAATAGATCTTCAGTCAGCTAATATTAAAGAGCAGTAGCTGGCCAATAAGGATACAAAGATACATGTTGCAAAAGGAAAGGATCTGCTTGTTCCTAAATCGAGGAGATATTGTTGCGAACAGTATAAGAATAGCTATCGAGTGTGGGGTGACATTTGGAAAAGCTAAGTCAACTGGTAAAGCATTTATATTGAAGTATCAGCCTGATGGACAATCGGATCTTACTACTCAGAGATTGCGTCTAATGAGAAACATTGCTGCCAAAGCATTGAGTTTACATGGACATATATTGTCAACTGAGGCAAATTGTGTCGACAGATACATATTCACTAGCAAATCAGAAGGATTGATTGATGAAGGATACAAGAAGTACGTATGCGGTGTTGTGAAGAATTCTCAAACAAATTCAAAAGAAATATGTCTTACATGGGAACAATATATACAGTACAAAATAAATCAATTGTCCGAATTGAATGAGCACAAATTTATTGAGGATGAGAAGAATGATGCTAAAGATTTATTTCTGCACAATTTAGCCAATGCCATTATCATTTTTGAATTAATGGCTGTGAAGCCAAGTCGATCGGTTATTATTAGGAATAATAACTTTGAAGATGACAGAAGCATTACAAATACCAGAGGTATATTTTATATTAATAAATTACTGATCGTTAATAAACAAACATTTTTTTGATAAATATTATTTTAATGTGTTGTTATTAAAAATGATTTTATAAATATTCAAAAAATATACATGATAGAAACAAATAAGAAATTGCATCAAATAAAAACTTAATTATCATAGGTGCGTCATTTGCATTATATAACACTGCCAGGATAGCTACAATTATAGCAAAACACAATGAGAAGGTATTGCGTGGGGATTATCCTAGTTTACCAGATATAAAAAATGTCGATTTTTCACAATTGCAAGAAAAAGTAAGTATAATCTTTGAATTTTTTACACATTATTTTATATTTTCCTAATTTTGCAATATTTATATATATATATTTTTTTTTTAGAAAATTGCTCATTTTTATAATCTTAATTCGTCATATTTATATATTTAAAAAATGAAATTCACCAATTATCTAAATTTTGACATTTTTTCAAAGAAAAATTGATTTGTCTATAGGAAGAATGGGAATTGATATATAATTTTATCTTCGGATATCCACAAATGATAAATGATTGTCTGAAGTGCGAACCAAGTTTTCATATTTATCCCCAAGTCGTGTGTTTGTTCTTATCACGATTATGCCAAAAATTCAGTGTCTACTATCGAAAAGTCAGAATTTTAACGGTAAGAAAAAACTTTATGCTTGTAAAACTTTTATACTTTACATGTTTTTACATCGAATTATTATTTTATAAATTTCAGGAAGGAGGTAATCATTTGATTCCCAAGATGGTTGCCAGATTGTATATGTTACGTGCATTGTACGTCATCTTTGAGAACGCCCTGGACATTTTGGGTATCAAGCCGGTATCTCGAATGTGAAATGATTTTATGGAAAAAAACACAATTTTATATTTAGCTTAATAAATAAAATTGTTACATTTGTGATTAAAAGTGTAGTTTTTTCATTTTTATGTTTGAAAATATTTTCTCAAATCATAACATTTTTATTTTATTTATCTTTTATGTTCATTTTAATTATATCAATGTAGAATAATTATTTTAATCTTGGTTAAATGTAGCTATTTTTATCTTCCTCTAGTTTTAACTGTAAAAGCTAAAAATAGATAAAAAATAAATTAAATCAAAATTAAAGTTAATCTAGGATGAATTGTATTTCATGTATAATATGTATACTGCATCACACTTATTATTTAATATTCAGCAAACAAGAAGGATATAAGATCCAGTTCCACCCATATAAGACATTGTTAACTTTAATCTCAGTTCAATTTAGTCTTTATCTTCCTTTAATTATATGAATTAGAAAAAGGCAAATAGTAAGTTAAATTGAGATTAAAGTTAAGTCACCTTACACTGATGAAACTGGATCTAATATCCGTTTCTACCAATGTAATTTAATTTTAATCTCAGTTAACTTTTTATCTTTTTTCTAATTCTAAGAATTAAAATTTATTGATATGTAGAATTTTGAGAAACGGAGAATGGATTGAAATGGATTAAGATGGATTTAGAAATACATATTCCTCTGAACGTTAAAATAAATCTTTTTCAATCCGAAATTTTTATATATTTACAGGAATTGTACGAAGCACATTTTTATACCTTTCAATATAAAAATGATATTAACTTTTTCTGTGTGCACACATCGTGTATAATGTTCAATTCAAAATTCTGATAAAGGATGTACAAGTTTTTCAATCCAAAACTTTGGAATCCAGTTGAATTCAATTGAATAACAAAAAAGTTCTTTTTTTATTTTTTCAATTGGATTTAATGGGTTTAAAAAATACGCATAAAAATTTCAATCCATTTTAATCCATTCTCAATTTTACTAAGTCTGGGCATAAATAAGTATACGATGCGTAAAGTAAAATGCACCTCTGTATTGATAGACATGAACAATGTTTTCTTCTAATTTCCACATATTCATTAGTATTTCAATATTTTCTCAATCGAGCGCACTGAAATTCGCTGAAAGAATGGAGCTATGGAGCAACGCGGAGCGTTGCAGTGCAGTGGAGCGGAGTTGAAAACGGAGTCGGGCACGTTCGGGCTCACTCGGGTTGGCTCGGGTCCGTTCAGCTGCACTCGCTCGGCTCGGTCCGCTGGAGAACGACGACAGCGGCGACGCTGGGCGGCCAGCTGTTTGTTTTGTTTTCGGGCATGAGATTCACGTGACAGCCGGCGGGTGTTGGTGGCGGCACGCGACTATCGCGGCGAGGTATGTTATGGCAAGGACGATTGGCCGAACGCGATGGCAAGCGCGCTGCGCCGGCCAATCGCTGCGGCTGTAAGCGCGCGTGCCGCCGCCGTCAAGCGGAGCGCTGCTGCCGCCGAGGTGAGCGTTTGACATCGATAAATGCGTGCGAGTGCTCGCGAAGCGCGGAGGTGTCAAGCTGTCGCTCGCCCGCTCGCTCGGCTCGGTCGTTCGTACATTCGTTCATATATTCGTCCGCGTTCGCGTATCGTCTGCGAATCGACGTCGTAGTCGCTATTTAAATCATCGCCCGTTTTTCGTCGCCGTGACCGTTTGCTCATTCTCCATTCGTGTACGGTATTGTTCGTTGTCCGATCAGCTTGTTCCCACCCCGCCACCGCTGTGCGCCCCTCCGCCCCTGTGGGAAACCTATGTGTGCGGGAGAAAGAGAGAAAGAGAGAGAAAGAGAGAGAGAGAGAGAATTAATAGTGCTGGATAGTGCCGATCATCCAACACAACATAGTAGGGAAACACAGACACCGTTAGTCTTTATTCCACTTATTTTCTTTCCTAGTCTACTTTTTCTCTCTTACCTATCTTTGTGTACTCCTTTACCGTCGCGACCCGTGCCAAATGTCATCGGGCGGATGTTAGGGTATATATACGGGCGTATACATATGTATGCGTACGTAAATATACACAAGGGCGTGAATGTATGTATATCTGTTGTACGTATTTTCGTGTGCGTGTGCGCGCGCGAACGCGAATGTGAGCGCGCGTGCCTGTAGAGAGACGTACGCTAGAGATACGGAGCACCTCGATGAGGGGACGACGGGATTCTCAGCTGGCGCATTCTAGTGGACGTTCGGGTAGAAAGTGTTGTTGCGCGAAGGCGGCTCGCCTGCCCCTTTGTTTGTGAGTTATCAGCTGGCGCGTTGCCTCGCCAGCCTCGTAACGATAGCGGCCTGTGAACAATAGCTGCGGGGCCCCGACGAGCCCGAAATCGAAACAGAGTCCTCCTCCTCCACCTTCTCCTCCTCCCCCTCCCCCTCCCTCCTTCGTCCGTGACTCGTGCGAGAAAACAGTCTTATTCGGAATCGCCTGGAATCCGAGACGATCCCGCTTTCCCCTTGTTTTCCTCGTCTCTACTTGTGTTCATTCGTCGTGTTCAATCGTGATGACAGATGGCTTTTCGGTTAACTTCAAGTGCGATTTTTTTTTTCAGACGGAAATCTACCTTTCCCGAGCCGTCGTGAGATTGTCCGAATACGCGGAGTATCCGGCCTAATATTTTTCGCTCCGAGAGTAAACCGATTTTAAATTTTTATTGAGAAACGCGCCGTATAAAATATTCGTGGCGAAGGTATATCCGGCGTGATGTGCACCGGATATTGTAAATGCCTTTAATGTTTGTTCGATCGACTGTCGCGCGCGACGTTTGCCATATCTCGTGGACAAGTCCATGTAATTACTTAGGAAAATAGCTTTTTAACGTTAATGCCTTATCGCTAAGAATTGAAGGAGACTGGAAAACATCTGTGTGTACTTAATATTTATTGTATACATATGTATATCACGCAAAAATTTATTTAGATGGACTTAACCTCTAATTCTTGTATCGTAATCGCATTGTATTAATCGCTTTATCATTAACCACATATCTTTATTTATCATATTAACAGATGCTATTTTTTTTGCCTCTTTTTTTTTTAGGTTTGCTTGATGTAACCACATTTTTTTATCTTTTCTCCTCTCACATTTGAATGCACAACCATTTAATTTTTTAAATGTAGAAATTGCAAAGCTGGAATGAGCTGAGCTTTTGTAAATAAATTGTTTTTTTTATGTATTTTGTTTTTATGTATTTAGTTCTTAACTCACTCTTCTCTGGATTAACAAATCCATCTTTGATCCTTAAATTGAAACCTGTAAAAATTTTCATCTTTATGTGTTTTTAAATTTTAATTAAAAATACATTCTTAAAATTATTACAAGTTTTCAAAATATTTTATTCTTCTCTGTGAAGAATAGAAGTAAAAATAATTATTTACAATTTTTTAAATAAACATTTCTTTTATATACTATACTTATTCGTTATAAATAATACATCTTAAATTGCTATTTCATTCAATGAATCTCAAAAATGTATATTTCAAATTAACATTTAAATTTTTGTTATATATCTTTCTTCGAATATGTAATTTCTTTTATATATGAAATGCTATTTCGTACAATGAATGTCAAAAATGAATATACTTCATATTAACATTTAAATTTTTATTATTTTTCATTTCTTATATCAAAATTAATTCAATTTTTCCAAGTATTAAATAGTATATTTCTTCAAATATGTAACTTTTTAAACATTTCAAATTGCTGTTTTATTCAATAAATCTTAAAAATAAATACTTCAGATTAACAACAGATTTAAACTTTCTTTTATTACATTTCATTTTTGACATAAGAAAGTTCAAGTTTTTCCAAATATCAACTGCGTATTTTTTTTTTTCGAATTGCACATGTGTGGTGCACGTGTACAAAGAAGAATTTCATGTTCTCGTTCTTATATAAAACTACACGTAAAATCCTATGCGTTAATCGTCAAAAGACATAAGCACGCGACAAAGGAATTAAATTCCTCATTTAATTCGTAAATAATCTCATTTCCAGACGCATAATAAATTTTGCTTTATCGCTCTTTCTATATTTATCTGTCTCTCTCTCTCTCTCTCTCTCTCTCTCTCTCTCTCTCTCTCTCTCTCTGTTGTGCGTGCGCGCGCGCTCTGTTTCCGTTTAACTCGCTGTTTATTTTTCTCGCGTTACGCGACCGCGCGTAGGCGTATTCTCTCTTTCATTCCGTTCGCTCCTCTCGCTCTTTCACTCATCGTGCGTTGTTTTGCTCCTTCTCCCCTCCCTTACTGTCTGTTATGCGTGTGTATGTGTGTGTGTGGTGACAGGCACGCGCGCACACATTGTATGCATGTGCATGGTTGGTGTGCGTGCTCGCGCGATCGGCTTCTCTCGGCAGCGTTCGAAGCGCAGTTACCTCACGCGGCACTTTCGTATCGGTGGTATTGCGACGGTTGTGTGTATACTTACTTGTATAGTTGGCGTTTATTTATGTCGGGAATCGTATGTATGCGAAATCGGCACGAGTCGCGTTCGCAAATGTTCAGTGGACGCAACGGTGGTGATAATCGACTTCTCTTGTGATTTGCAGTGCAATCGGCGGGTAAATGTGGTGAAACGCAGTGAGAAAGGAGCAGTGGAAACCAGAAGAGGAGAAGAGCACGGTCGCGGCAACAGGAGGAGGAATCAAGACGACTGAACGATCGCGATTGAAGCAGAGACACGTGAAGAAGAAAGAAAATAGAAATACATGATTCCTAACGTTTAAAAAAGAAGAACGCTGAAAACGGAGCACTCGAGTAAATGCGCTCGTGCATTCCTGAGTGCTGGAGATCGATTGACAGTGATCAATAGAGAGAAAGAGAGAGAGAGAAAGAGAGAGAGAGAGTGATACGCGAATTCACCAAGCGAAGGGGGGATATTTGAGAGAAGCTGAGCTTATTTGAAAAAGCTGGAATCAACTTGGTAGAAAAAAATTCATTAAGCCACTCGAGATCCCTCGAAGACGACGATCGACGAGGGAAGAGAGTCCAGCTGGAAATATTCATTGATCGTTGTTTATTCGTGACGAAGGCGAGGGAGCGACCGTTGGAGAATCAAACAGGAGCAGCGGTGTAGAAAGAAAACTTTCCGCGTATCTCCGTCTCGGCGACTCGGCCTCGGTTGCCGCTGCTGTTGCCCGCCGCCGTCGCTGTCGCCGTCCGCGCGGATTGGTGCACGTTCCTCTCGTTCGGCGTGCGTCGGTGTCGTCATCGGTTGGTTTACTTGTGCGCGTTCGTGCGCGCAGTTACGCGGCCGAAGGTAGTCGACGTGCGGCGGAGTCGCCCGAGGCGGCGCGGCGCGGCGCGGCGGCCGAAGACATCACGATTACGTATCTCGCCGGTACTCCCCTTCCTCCCCCTTCATTCTCGCCTGCGCGTCCGTTGTACGCGCACGTGCGCGCGCGCGTCGTGTGTGTGTGTGTGTGGTGTGGTGTGTGTGTGTGTCTCTCTGTCTCTCTCTCTGCTGTGCTGTGCGTGAGGCTGTGTACGTCCTCGGCACGTGTGTTGGCGCGGGAGCGTGCGGCAGAAGAAAGGGGAACGAGCGCGAACGGAAGCAGCCAGGATTACTCCAAACCAAGGAAATATGAGCATTGCTGCCCTATTACAAGCCGCCGAGTACATTGAACGAAGGGCAAGAGG